AGATTATTTAATTGCTTGTCGTTATCGTCGTTAATGAGTTTTTTGAATCGAAATGTGCATCATAAACAGTTATAATTCGCGATGAATTTGTTTATTTCAACTCCTTAATTTGTCAAAGTAATTAAATTATAATCCGGCGTTCAGTTTTTGTTTACCCTTATTAATGACTGGCAGCTCACCATCGGCAAAGCTCACTTACATGTTTCGTAAGCAATGGTGTTTTATCATATCATGGGATCCGTGAGTTGCACACGCTGCTGCGCACTATTCTTGTGCTACGGCATACTGAAACCATCCGACGTACAATCCAGAGGAGTGAGATTATGAACTATGGCTCTGTGGCACTTTGCCCGTTGACCACGTTGACCATGCTGAGCAACCCTCATGATGTGTCTTTGTATATTTGATGTCACATCACAGGCACAGAAGTCAAATGCTGAAAACGTTTTTCACACCTCTGCAGAAGAAGGTTTGCAATGATACTTGATTTTTTTCGTAGCGAACCGCTACTGAGTGAAGCAAGAGCGTTTACCTGCTCTATAAGGTGCAGAGGTAGGTCATCCCTGAGAAGTTGGGTATACTTGCTTGGAATTACCGTTACTGCTGTAAGCAGTCTGCACGCATAATGTTATGAGCGACAACTAACATGGGACCATCCTTGTCCTCCTTGTTACGATCGGCACGTTGCGACCCTGACAAAGTAACAAAAGAAGTTTTCTGTAGGCAAGTTGAAGATATCTCTTTCTATCACGCTGATCCAAAAAAAGGTTTTCTGTATCAATGTTATTTCGCAATCTTAGGGAACGTTTTTAGGGACCTACTTGCTAATCGCTTCAGCCTTTTTAACCCTCGTCATTCTTTACGAACTATTCTCATCATCATGATTGCTCCCAACCCAACTATTCGAATACAAAGTAACTTGTAAACCGTAAAAAATACACCCGAAGTACAGATTGCACATCTTTCACAGAGGTAGTTTCTTGCGCATTCAAGGGATGAGAGCTATGCAAAGATTCACGAAATTCCTCTATAAGTCGGACCTCCAAAGTATTTTTTGAACAGCATATGTCAGGCGATTAGATTTTCATTTACATGACAGCAAAGGAACTCGTGGGATTTCGAAAGCTCTATTTATGAAATTCTGCCGTTATCGCTGAAGTACCTAATATCAGACATAGCCAGACTGTTACATTTATTTGAATATTTCGGACGAACCTTCAGAACGACCTACAAATAATGATGGCTATATGACTACTGCCAGACTGTTACATTTATTTGAATATTTCGGACGAACCTTCAGAACGAGCCAGACTGTTACATTTATTTGAATATTTCGGACGAACCTTCAGAACGACCTACAAATAATGATGGCTATATGACTACTGGGAAAAGGGAAAAGTGGTACCAAATGAAGTCAATGCAAGAAAAATTTGACGACTGTTATGATGTACTTATCTCCTGTGTGACTGCGGCGAAGCTTCAGTAGTCGAAGATGCTAAGTAAGCCAGACTGTCACATTTATTTGAATATTTCGGACGAACCTTCAGAACGATCTACAGGTAATGATAGCTAAATGACTACTGGAGAAAGGGAAAAGTTGCACCGAACGAAGTCAATCAAGAAAAGTTTGACACTGTTATGATGAATCTCCTGCGTGACTGCGGCAATCCTTTAGTAGTCGAAGATACTAAGTACAGGACAATCTCCTTTTGCTCTTTGGATATTCATATACAGTTATGCTACAAAACCGAGTTCCTACTCCGCTCTGAATCACCTTCACGATGACGTGAGTCGTTGCGTTTCGGCGTTGAATACACACCCCTGAGGCTCGACATTCTTCAATCCAAGCATCTTCACATTACTAGTCGTAAAAGTTGAGTGAGTCACTGTGGATCACCGAACACGTTCTCAATTGCATTGAAGTAACCTGGGGAGAGCCATGCCGATTACAACGACTTGACCACGCTTTGTTTGTCCTCCCGCCTGAATCACGAGCCGCAGTATCCCCGCATTCGACTTCCCATTCAAAGCTGTAGTATGGATCACCGAACACGTTCTCAATTGCATTGAAGTTCACCAAACACGTTCTTTCACCAAACACGTTCTCAATTGCATTGAAGTAACCTGGGGAGAGCCGGGCCAATTACAACGACTTGACTACGCTTTGTTTGTTCTTCCGTCTAAATCACGAGCCGCAGTATCCCCGCATTCGACTTCCATTCAAAGTTATAGTAGCATTTTGAATGGAAATGCTGCAACGATTTTGAATGCGTGGGAAACAATGATTGGGATGGCCAGCCGATATGCAAGCCAGTGTTTTCGACTTCCATTCAAAGTTATAGTAGCATTTTGAATGGAAATGCTGCAACGATTTTGAATGCGTGGGAAACAATGATTGGGATGGCCAGCCGATATGCAAGCCAGTGTTTCAACCCTAGTAGTAGTTGGGTCTGATAAGATTAAACCTACCCTGGAGGGGCTGATGTCTAGGGCTGACCTTGGCCTCTGCTCTCCTCTCACTTGACATCTTGGCACAGGCCAAGGCCATCCCCAACCCAAGATTCGACACTTGAATCATGCTGTTTGAAAAAGCGCCACTTATCACTGCTTCACCTCCGCCCATAGTGCATATCATGTTGGACGAAATACACTGGTAGTATACCAGCGTTATTCGCTTATTTGTATGTTACCTGTCGGATTGCCCGATTTACGCCGGACTTCCCTACATCCTCGAACTTCCCTACATCCTGTTACTAAGTCGCAAAGCAATCGCTCTGGTGTGGGTGGAATTCCGCTGAGCTTACAAGTGCTCCCATGGTCTTACCCCCGATCCCACCCTTTCCGAACGTGACCCGACCTCTCCAGGTGCTT